CATTTAAAGAATTGTAACTAAAATAACATTTAAAATGGAACATTAAATGCAAGAAAAGAAGTAGTAATGTGAATGAAATAGAAATAAAATTTGGGAAAAAGGAATTGAAGAAATGGAAATGATTGCCTGGCCCTTTTGGTTGCTGGATCCCTCATTACCATACATTCATTTACTTCACCAAATTTACCGAAATAATCTCGCAATCCTTCTATAAATGAAAGAACTTTTCAGGTATGGATCAAACTTTAGTCCAATTAACATTACTTGAAACAATAACGCTTATTACATATGCATGAAGACGTTTGTAATAAATTTCGGGAGAATCTGAAAGTTTAACTTCACGCATTTGCTATAATCAAAAATTTTAATTTTTCAAAACCTTTTTAAAATTTTTCACAAATGTCTTTCCCCGTATCTTTGTACTTGAAGAGTTTATTTCTTTACTTTACTACTACTACTACTACTACTACTATTACTACTACCACTACTACTACTACTACTACTGCTACTACTACTACTACTACTACTACAACTATTACAACAACAACAACTACTACTACTACTTCTACTACTGCTATACCACTAATATTTGGACCTTCCTCTATTGAATGTATTATAACCTAAGATTCTGGATTATAGCATATCACATACAATATTAGTACCTTAAATTATAACATTCTTCATCGGACGTTCTAATTATATAATTACACTTAAGTATTCAGATCCCATCGCTTATTGGATTTGAATGTAATTATATGGCTTTAACCCTGCAATTTCAATGTAATTAAATATTTGAAAGTAATTATATAAGTAAAACCCTTTAGTGTCAATAATTTCCACATTTATTTTAGCTACCATTTAATTATTTCCAGCTCTTAGTTTAACTCATTCATTGCACAAATATACAGGTAAAAAAAGGTAACAAAAATTAAAAAATATTACTTACCAGCTGTTGTTTGCCAACTAAGACCACCGATAAACATTTTTCTGAAATAATGTCAAAAATGAAGTCAATTTTTCTTTCTTCTTTTTTGAGGATTGTTTTTTTTTATTCTTTTTTAAAGAGCAAACTTCTTGAATTTGCTAAATTCGAAGGGTAATTTGTTGACTCAAAATGTGCGCAGTAAAAACGTTTTCAATGAAGTTAATATTACCTTTCTCATTTGATATTATTCAAAAATTTTTTGAAAACATGAACAACTAAAAGTTATACTTCCCACCAACTACTACCAGATTAATCAATGAATAGTATCTATTTTGGTTCTCCAACATCATCCTTCCCTATTCATCCGACAGTGCTTTTTTTGTTTAATTAAAAATTTTCAATGAAATAAGGAAATAAAAAAAAGAAGTTACTCCAAATGTGCTCTGTTCTCTCCATAACAAATATAATATTATATTTATAAATAAATTTGGACTGTATCAGGTGAGCAACTATTAACAGAACTGACGACGATATTTTGTCTAAAGTTATGAAATATTTGGTATACTATCATATATTTAGTAAATTAAACAACGCACACTAAAAATTTTCAAATGGATAGAAAATTTTTAAAACAATGTTTTAATTAATATTTTAATTAATACAAAAAGCTACAGATGAGAATGACATACTCACCCGGGGTCATTGGAGCTGGTACCATCCTCTGAACTCGGACTTTGCTGTATTGTTTCATTATCGTTTGCATTGCTATCGGATGTATCCATAACTACTTTCTACTACACTTTGAACTATGCCCTTTGTTCAGTGTTATTTTTCAGTACACAATTATTTCTAAACACCGGCCGTAATTCGCCTTTTAAGGCCTCTAAGACAAACAAAAGATAACTATATGCAGTAATGAAATTAATAGATGAATAATTGTCCAAATGTGAATTATTCTTCTAATACTGAATAAGTCTGAATTATTCCAATGGAAAACAGATTAGCAATCAATGATCGTTGACCGACGACACACTCCTTTTCTCAGTGTTTTTCACAGTTCACACGAAATTCTTCCTTGAATTCTAATTGGAATTGTAGAAATTTTGCAGATATCTGAAGTATAAAAGATGAAAAAAAAAAGTGAGAAATTGAGAAATTAAGCGGAGTTTTCAAGCTTTCGCTTCGAAACAAGATAGTAATATTACATAAGGCATTCAGTTTATTTGATCAACAATCAATTATTTGAAAGAGATTTTTGTTGTTCGAAAAAACAAATATGCGCAAGTACAACTTGAAAAGTTATAATGTATTTTTTGTTTTTTTTTCTCCCACTCTTTTTTCTTCCTCTTTTTTTGCATTTCCCTTCAAAAACAAATGAGAAAAAAAAAGACGTTTATTTTAATAAAAACATTAAAACATCAAATTCTGATGAAATTTCACAACATCACCAAATTGTAAATAAAACGTCACTACAAGCTCTTTTATCTTTTCTCTTCTTCCGCCCATACAATTTTATGAGTGACATCCTCTTCTTCATCAACCTTCACATAAATTACTCCTTTCTTTTAATATTTTACCACACTTATTTATTCTTCGCAAAATCTTTTATTTACGTCACTAATACTTATGTTAGATTTGTGAAAAAAGTGAAAAACGTGTGGAAAAAAAAAAACGCAAAAAAGATGCAAAATGAAATTATCGATGAAAATGGATATTTATCACAAAATAAACTACGATATGTTGATATTCAAATCATTACTATACAAATGCAAGAAATCATTTTTGTTTGCCATTTGTCTATTGTTTAATGAGAAAATTGAACAACATGAATGAAAATTTCCTTTCGTGTTCCATATTTGTTTAGATTCAATTAAATTTTTTTCCATGAAAATTAAAATAGTTGGTAGCAAAAAAGAAAAGAATGATAAGAGAAGATTGTATTTCAAAATTAGAATATTTCATTTATTTTAAGGGTTTAAATAAATTTGTTTTATTAGAAAGATGAAACAATGTGGACAAATGACAGCCAGAAAAGAAAGGAATGACATTTAGGAAGATGACACAGATCAATCTTGGCAAAAATATGTATTTACTTTCCTATATGGATGGATTTTTCAAATAACAACAATAACAACAACAACAACAACAACAACAACAACACAATATTGATCCTTACTAATTCTGACAACTCTCGATAGGAAATGAATTCTCGAAGAAAGCATTATGAGAGGTTGAAGGGATGCCTGATAAAGTCAAATATAAGACAACATTCACGTCATAGTGCCTTTTCCTTCAAATAAACTACGATAATCAATTTTAAAGAAAAAAGAATTGACAATTCAAAAGGTTAATGTTAGCTTGAAAGAGAAAAAAAAGAAAATTATTCATTGTATTATCTTAATAACGCCTTTTTAATTATGCAAATGCATAAGTTTAGACTAATCAATAATTGAATTTTCTTATTTCAATATATCATTTAAATATTATTGATTGAAATTAATTTCATGATATTACAACTGATTGGTGATAAATGGATATATTTTACTGATTTGTAAATTGTTTATTCAATCATGCATAGTTTTTCTGTTAGCATTATTTCTTTCATATTTAATTTCGCATTTTTGAATGACTTTTTTTTCTTTTTTGTATCATATCTTTCCATTTTTCATTTCCCTGAAAAAGATCCATGAAAAAGAATAGTCATGTCCAAGTCCATAATTTAATGGACACCAGGTTTAAATACCTGGATTAAGTAAGAGGACTGAAATTTGGTCTGGTACATAGGTAACTAACTATATGATCCCTGTAAAAAAAAATGGAATATTCAGACTTTAGAAAGTGAAAATTATAGACAAGTAAAGGAAGTGTTTTGGAAAATTGAAAAGTTAACTAGTGAATGGCCGTGGTTGATATTGGTGAATGTATACAAGGATATATGTCTGTGTGTATTTGCATGTGTGTGTGTGTGTGTGTTGTGTATGTATGTTCGAGTGTGCATTTATGTTTTTGAAAATTTTTGAAAATTTTTTTTTAGCAAAATTCTTGAAGCTAAAATTGATTGACGTAGCTCTCTCTTTCTCCCTTTTTCTCTCTCTCCTCAATTTCCGCACTGTTAGAGACTATTCTCTTACATTTCTATGTAAGATAATACATCACCCACAAGTTTAACATCAGGCATTCCAGTTGTTAAAACTTCTCTTCAAAACTTCAACGTACTCTTGTTATGTATCACATCATCTAGATAGATAGATATAGAGATATAGATATATATCAGGTTGCCGAAGAGATGATCGATATGTCAGTTTGGCTTGGCGCAAAAAAAAATCTTGAAATTTACCAGAAAATAACTCTAAATGGACAAGTAAAAATAACTCCAAGTAAATTCAAAATAACTCTAAATAAACTCAAAATGTAATTTCATTATTTTTAAATTTTTACTTCAAGCTATCATTTACAAAAATTTTGGTAAGAAACTCGATGAACTGGATCACATATTTAGTGTTATATATTGGTAGGAGGACTTAAAAGAGACTTAGACAAATTCTTCTCAAAAATCTCATTCAACATCATATCAAAAGAGAGTGGTGATATTCTGATATGATAATGTCCCCACAAGCATAGATGATTAATTAATTGTTAGTAATACAAAATTAGTTAAGAAACTGTGATAATCATTTGGAAGAATCATTATTGCTGTAGTTGGAAGACTCAGTGGTACAATGGATAGTTCGTAATTTTTTAAATTTTGACTTCACAAAGAAATTACATTTTGACGTTTATATCGTTTTTAAAAAAAAAGAAAAAACAAGAGTGATAAAAATGATGCAATTATGTGAGGTAATATTAATCAACACTTCATTATCAATATATGTACATATTTGGAAAGCTTTAGAACGATCTTGCTGATAAGATATTAGTTTGTCCGTTCAAGAAAACAATAGTGGACAGTAATAGATAGATTTAAAAGAGATGGAAATGATGAACTACAATGAAGGTCATTTTATGTTATTGCTGTTGTGGGCGTCTGAACATCATTAGGCGGAAAGGGACGTGGACGTATGAAGGGAAACCGTTTGACTTAGAGAGAGTGAAGAAAGAGTACGACGCAATATGCCTATCTTTTCAATATCAACACAGGTATATAGTTCAATGACTTCACATACATAAATATATTGAAATGGATAAAAATTGATAATAGGAATGGCTAAAAATATTTTGTTCTGTCAAAGGTAAATGATTACTGTGATAATGTTGAATTGATTAGCTTTAAATGGTCAAAAAAAAAAGGACAAATGGTAATATTAAAAGGATGTCGAATATTTGATGTACCTGGGATGAGATTATTTCAGATGAATTCATAAACAGTTCGTTCCATTTAACGGTAAATTTTATAAAAACCGATCTGTTAGGTGTTAAAAGGATATGTCACTTTCACCTATAAATATTATAAGAGTAAGAAAGATGTATGTGAAAATAAATGTAAACGGTAAAATATAGAAAAACGTAAACGGAAAAAGCACAGAGACAGACAGATGCATACATTTATTTATAACATACCCGCCAACACTTTCCTATCTTCTCGAACTTCCCCCGGTCTCGATCACCTCAGTTAGCAATTATTTGCATTGCGTATACCTTCGATTGATAATACGTGTCTACATCCTGGTTATCATTAATGTTTGTCTGTGTGTGTGTGTGTGTGTGTGTGTGTGTGTGTGTGTGTATGAGCTATTCAGGAAAATACACCTAGTGTATTGTATAAGGACGATTTTGTCAACTTACCTGAAAACTGTGACGATACACATATACGTGTAACATCATTTGTTCAGGTACATTGACGGTGTGTAAAAGAAAGCTCAAAAATGTGTATAAGGTATTGTATATTGATGAGAACGTTTGCGGAAGTAAACGTTGTCATCAATGTCAATTTTAGAACCCAAAAATTTGTCATCCAAATCACATCAAAATGGCCGATGCATTCATTCCACATTGATAAACTGAAATTTAACAACTGTTAATCTGATTCGTTATGGAAACATCCCTTCCTAGTTTTTTTTTTCTTTCTTTTTTTTTGCCTTATCAATCAGAAATAAAACAAAAAGGAAAAAATCGGAGTGATAATTCAGTGGTAATTTCTATTTTCATTAATAATCGACAAAATAATGAGAGAAGAGGCAGGAATATATGTAAAGTTCATTTGGAGAATAGCTTTAAAAGAAGGTACTATCGAACAAATAGATGACTTCAGCAGGGAAGTGACACAATCAACTCATTTGACATTTTTCTACCACCAATTTAGTTACCGAAATTTAAAAGAAAAAAAAAGAACTTCATTTGTATATCTTTTCATGAAGTTATCGAAGTGGACATAAAAGAACTCTTCATGAGCTCTAATAATACAAAGAATAAGAACTCTGTGAAAATGCAATAAAGGAAAAAGGTCAAAGGTTGTTACGTTTAGACGAAAAGAAGAAACTAATGGATGCAAAAATTTGTCATTTGGAGACTACTGCTTAAACTCTATTTGTTATTACAACTAAATACGCATACGTATAGATAGAGACTGACGTAAAAACAGCCGACAATAAAATGAAGAAATATCAGTAACAGATTTGAATGATTTACTTCAGAATCATATGCGCCAACCACGCCTTTTCGTTTTTTCTTCGCAGAATCTCACGGATAGAATTCCCTTGGGGATGGCTCACTTCTACAAAACCATAAACACACCAAACTTTTAACTTTCGCGGGGAAAAAAAAAGTGAAAAAATTGAAAAAGATGAAAAAAAATAAAGTGAAAAAGATTTAAAATAACTAACATAAATATTTCTTCGATATAACGAAATAATGAAATAGTTTTTGAATAAATATCATGTTTACATATAAATATATCCAAGCACATCCTATTTGCTATATTTGGAATGAAATGCAAAAGACACCAAAGATAGGGCCTTAACTGTCATCAGAAGGAAACATCTGGTCCAGGAAGAGAGAGGGCAAAGGGGATGAAATGCGTGGTGGATGAATTAGTTGCGGGCGGGGTTGTGGTGCGGTACTTACTACCTCTTCCTCTTCCTTCTCCTGCTCTCCCCTCAATTGCGCTCTCATCCATTTCAAATACAAATCGATTGCAATTTATTTCATATGTCACATACTTATTATAATGTTTGCAAATTGTAATATAACGTCTCAAATAGAGAAAAGAAAATTTTTTTTTGCTCTTTTTTCCACTGAAATTAAAATGATTTAAATTAATTTAATCAATATTGTCTGCTATAATGTTAAGCCTTACATTATGTGTCAATTACCGCGTCACATGTCACGATGGAACATAATACATACACATTTTTCTTCTAATTTGAAAATGATAAGTTAGCGAAAACATCCACCTAATAGTTGCATTGATTTAAATCCTAGAATTGCTTCAATTGGAGTATTGATTGAATTAATTTTTGCATTTAATTTATTGTTGAAATGAAATGCGATGGAAGTGGTTCAAATAAGACTTAAAAAAAACAATCAATTTAAAAGAAATTAACAATGGAACGAACAATAAGATGGAGCTATAGAAAGAGAAGAAGGGTGACCTTTAATCTTGGATATAAATACATTTAATACCTGTCAATGCAAGCTTATAAGGAAGAGCAAAGATGGATGGTAATCTCACCTGTCTCTTTAAACCCAAAGAAAACCTGCAGTATCGGTATTTATGCAATGCAACATCATCCAACCATTGATTTAAAAATGTCTGGGAAATTAACGTCTGATCACACCGATGCATGGTGACAATCCAGTAGAGAGTATGTTTGTCCGTTTGTTTGCTCGAGGGCTATGTAGATAGGGCAGCCAGTCTGTGTGACCTTGAGCAAATTGACACTGAATTCGAGAGGATGGCAGTTGTTATTCCATCACGATTTATAGTATTATCAAATGAAAGGTACCATAAGCTCATAGATACAGCAGCAGGTCAAAGTTCACAAGATCTTTGATTTAGCAGCAGGTCAAAGTTTCACAAGATCTAAGATCTTTGATTTAATTGGTCACATATAATATCATCGCACCAACGGTCTCTTCATTACTTCCACAACTTTCCCTATCTGCGACATTTTGTGATTTCGTGCTAACTGTTTGGTGTAAGATTTGATCTATAAGAATTTGTTATCAGTGCTACTACATGTTATCAGTGTAAATATTGTAAGGAAAAAGTTTTTTCGAAAAAAAGTTTTAGTCAACATTTGTCTTCTTTTAATGAGCTTTTTTAATATAAAAAAATAGACACTGAATTTTGAGTCCTGAAAAATTCTGGATCATAATTACTCGATACATTTTTGGTGATTTTAATATAGCAATTTCTTTTCTGCTTGTTCAATTTGGGTAAGGAAACATAAATTGATCAATTATAATTTTCCTAAGTTATCTCTCTAAGGACATTGTCATGTTACAATCTCTTCACTCCATTAATTAATTAATGGATAGTCTAATTAATACATGTACACTGATAATTGACATGTTGTTTGGGTTAAAATTAATTCTTTATATTTCAGTTAATGTTAACACTTATTTTTAAAGAAAAAAAAGTATCAAATATATGAATAAAGGATGAATGATCACACACTGTTGTCATCAATGATCACAATCATAAGAATTCTCATACGTTACCCTTTTCTTGCTGTTAATTAAGATGGCTTGATTAAGTAATGATCCAGTCTGACTTACTATTTGATGAAAATTAACTATTCATTATTGAAATGATTCATCTCTTCAATGAATTATTATTTCGGGCTCATCAGATCAGGATGGTGGACAATATCTTAGTCTTACTACTATCCTCTAATAAACTTCATTGTTTCGTAAAGAATGAAAATAAATACGGATGGCATTTACTTATTTTGTTCTTTTGTGAAGCGAAAAAAGTTTAAGAGTTATGAGTAGACGAAAACATCATATGATTATAAATACAATGGCATGAATGATTATTTAATTGTCAAAGAGATAGAAGCGGAAATAATCAAATAAGTGGATTAATAAAATATTGTCCATTCTTTATGATTTGATTTCAAAAATCTAATAATAACATCTCGTGTACTTTGAATGTTTACTTGCGCTTAATTTGATATAAGTAATTGTTTCATATCGATGTCTTTTTTTTCCAACAACAAAGCAGTTAATTTCTTTTCAAAAATTCGATTTCCAATTGAAGTGAGAATGATTAATCTTGGAGAAGACTTAATTCCCGAATGATTTGAGTAAATGTGAATGATTGATCTCGAGTAAGG